TAATACCAAAAACCATTAAATTGTTTGCTCTTTTTGTCTTGCTTCAAATTCATGGACTGCCTTTTCAATGCTCATCAATTCTGTTAAACGTAACGGAGTCACTACCCACGCACTCAATCTTAAAGGACTTTTTGCTTACACAGCAGCATACAAGTTTGTGCTCTTCCGCTATCTTACCACAAGTACATTTATTATTACTCATTTCGTTATTAATAGGTAACAATGGATTAATTGCATTAAATTAGTGGGATATAATGAAATATTAGTGATGCGGGTAATGACTCCCTAGATTCCATTATCATTTTGGTCATAAATATTGCACAATTTTTATGACTAGACCAGTAGAAACAGCTACTTCCCGGACAAGAGTCCCGCCTCTTTTGTTTTGTGGGTCTAAAGATTTTAGGCTCAATAAAAATCGATAGAATGCAGTACGTAATCTGCATGAAGTGGTCTAAAACCGGCCATCAATAAATAGTACTCCCCTATATTTTTCTAAAACTTTGCAAGACTAAATAGATAGTGACTTTAAAATGGTAATAAATATATCAGCAATCTATATTAGACTTACTAGAAAGTTTGGCTGTGGGATTAGGCAATTACCGGGAACTATTAAAAAATTGTTTGACGCAATCTAATAGAACCCAGTTTAAAATTATTTTCAGATTTCCAGGGGTCCCTTTTAAAAATTACACACCAAAATTGCATTTTTTAAAAGAAAGACCTACATATTTATATTTTCATAGATTTAGATTCTTCGTATAAAAATTAAAAAAAAAGGTTCTTCTTCCTGAGAGTAAAGTAATCTTATTCATTGAGCGATTGGCTACTTTTATGTTTTCTCGACGTTTCATGACCCCTAGAGTACGACAAAATAGATCTCCAGTTTCTGTCAGTCTGTCTGTCTGTTTGTTTGTCTGTCTGTCTTTCTGCCGTCTGTCCAGATTTTTATTAGACAGATAATTAGGAGATTATTCTACTACCGGCCCGATTATTGTCAAATTTTATACGTATGTTAGGAATATCGTATAGATGGTACATCAACCAAATTTGTCTAATGATCCCTACCACCTATGTAATGACATCCCCTCAAATTTTTTTACAATAAGTAGGATTTAAATTTTATAAAATAACATACTCCTGCACTTGTTTTTTATGAATCTGTATTCAGATTTTCCTCGAAGCATCCAAATTTTCGCAAAAAAATAGAAATTTTACAGCAACTTTTTCTGCTAGTATAAGCAATGTTCGTACAAGTTTATTTTAACTTATCGCGTAGCCTGTTTACTTTAGAGTGTGTAACATAAAAATAGCGCATGTTCGACTGTGGCATGTATTTTTTTTTGTTTCTTTTATCTACACTTTTTGGGAAAAAAGCCGAGTGTGCTTAATTAATTAATTAATTTGTCCTTCGTTCTGGTTTTTCCAATATTTAAAAAAAGCGTTGAAAATTATTGTTATTCTCATCTTAGTAGGTAGTTTCTGCTGTTTCTATAATTAAACGGTGCACTTAAACATACCACACATGGACAGATTCAAATCTTGCCTGTGAGTGTACGCAAAACTGATGCCGTTTAATATGTAGGCTATCCGTAATGCACCGACAAGTGGTATTAATTGAAAAAGATACAATTTTTCTTTATCTTTTATTGCCAACCGTCAATAGACCCATTCATTACCATAGCGATTTTCGAAAGTAAATAAACACTTTATTTTACTGTAGAAATCAAACAATTTACCTGCCGCTCATAATTGTCAACATAAGCATGACTGTATGACGTTAAATAGAACTCGTCTGTCACTGTCACAGTTCCAACAGCAAAAGTTCTGTCGCGAATTATAAGAAGAACCGCCTGAAATTCAGAAGAAGCCGTTAGAGCATCTTTCGAACTTCTACCACAAAAATCAGTCGAAAAATACAATGGCCAGTATGACTTACAAAATATAGTGAAAACGTTTTGCTGGCATATTTTTCCGGTTTTAACCCTAAAACCGGAAAAATAAGAATACCCATTCTCCTTCGTCAATGTAGTCGTATTATTTCACGGTAAAAGCAACCCTTTCAGCAAAAAATGACGTCGACATTAGTAAATACAAGAAACTTGCGGCTTTTTTAAAGCAAAAAAGAAACCATATTCCAAAAAAGTCTAAAACTCTTTCATCAGATGAAAAACTTAAATTTTTACTAAATCCGCCGGATGAAATCTACTTGATGAGACGGTAATTTATGCAAACTTTTTAAAACCAATTTGATGTGAATGTAATAATTATTTTAGATTAGTGTGTTTGGCATTGCTGGGGCTTGCCGTAATGATGAACTTCTGATTTTAAAAGTAAGTGACAAAGCATAAAGAAACAATTCTAGTTGTTCAAATGACTCGAACAGACTTCGATTATTTGTAATCACTTCAGAGTTTGAAGAAAAAGTAAAGTCCATACAAGTATTTAACAAATATTTATCTTTGCGTCCTAAACAGACGCCGGACGACCGATTTTTCCTAACATATAGAAATCGCGAATACACAGTCCATCCGGTAGGGATCCATACTTTTAGAACTATACCAACCAAAATTGCCAAGTATTTGCATTTACCAGAACCATCACTTTATACGGGACATTGTTTCCGTCGAACGTCTGCCAATCTCTTTGCCAACGCAGGCGGCATCGGCAGTAAGGAAAATTTAAAACGCCACGGAGGGTGGAACAGCGACACGATTGCTGAGGAATCTGTGCTGAATAAAAAGAAAATCTCAGAGACGATTTTAAGTGAAAGTCAAACTGACAACATATTTGTTACCAATGATAATTTTACTCAAGGTTCATCTAATCAAATTATTAGCATATTCGTAATCCTCAAATATTTTCAATTCAAACTCCTTCGACTTCAAGACTTAATTTTCATAATGCGTCAGGTTGTACATTTACAGTTAATATATCAAGTAAAAAGTAGATAGATTTCTTTTGTATTTGTTGTTACTATCTGTTTACTCTGTCATAATAAAATGTTATATGTCTTAATATTTCCATTATTTTTAATTATAAGTGTTTAAGGTTGGCGATATAAAGTTGTATGTACCACGTCAGTAAAAGAAAAATCACTTTACTGACTTGATACATAAATAACTATTATGTTTTGCAAAGTAGATTCGTTCACAGATATCCTCAGAGCTATGAATTTGTTGCAAAATGATCATTTTTTAACACAATTTATGGAAAACTTGATATTTATATTTTACTGTCGAAACATTCTAAAGTGTAAATGTAACAGATCTTTTCAGCAAATCTTTATCGAAATTCCTGGTAATATAATTAATCAAATACAAATTTGGTTTTCTGGCATAAAACAACTACACATTCTTGACTTCTTTAATGTCTTTAAAATTTTATTTTTTTGCGGAAAAATTTCAATGTGAACTGAAAACGCAAGCATGACAATATATTTAGCTATTGGAACATCTAGTGCCTTACCTCATCAACTTCTCATGAGCCGCCCCTGTCCGTCTCCTAAGGACAAGTGCACTCCAAACCAAATATAAACAAGTGTGTTTTCGTGAAATAATGCGTTAGAATCATAGACAGTGACGGACTTTGTTTGATATGAAGCATGATACGTTAATAAATTCAGAAAAACAAGCGGTTTCCAAAAGAAATCTAATTTTAGTTTTTGCAAATATAATGGAATTTTTTCCCAAAAAAGGTTTACGTAAGGTGCCAACTTCTTTCTATGACCATTTTACTGATAAAAAGACGTATCGGAATTTGAAGGAAAAAGTTGGGGTAGCCATTAAAAAAAAACGACTGGTTAAAAAAAATACGTCAAAAAGTGTGTTTTAAAAAATTAAATTTATTTGTCCGAGGAGTTTTCAAGAAAACGTCATTTAACGGTATTATGAATTTTGTACGGAATCAACACTGTATTCAAAAGGAAAGTAAAAATCATAAAAGTAAATGGAGACTAATTATTTTATTTTAATTTTTAATTTTATGATCGATAAAATTAATTTTCAAAATTACTTAGCATTTCATTATTTTTGATACTCATTGGAAACTTTTTTTTCATTTTACTTCAAATTTTATTCATTCCAGCCAGAACTTTGTATATAGTTACCACTACCAGTATGTATTGTAATGTTTTTTTGTTCTGATAAAAATATTCGCAGACCCCATCAAGCAAAAAGTATATTGCCTGATTTGGATTCGTGTATAATACTGGAGAATTTTATAGTTTTAAAATCACATTACAAAAATAATTTAAAATTTATTGATAAAACTTTTTTGAGATTTGTTTAGAACAAACAGGTGAACTACTTTAAATCCATTTTATCGTTAACAATAGCACACCGTAATGCAACATTTTAAAAGCACTACATTTATTGATGAGGCATGTACTTGTTGGAACACCACCACTAAAACCAAAATTACAAGCACTAACAGTTGTTTACCTATACATACACACAAACATACACATGTTTACATTCAAATTCGACAATAATGTGTTCACATTCTCTATACTGAAATAGAATGGCATTCTTAAGATTTTTAGACGACAGTATAATAGTTTAATAAATGACATATAATAATAAATTTAACGGACAGACTCACTCAGTATTTGCGTATTACTCATATTATAAAGTTTTATGTACATAAACTTTGCGTGAAAATGTGAACTAACTTCCGTGTGGTTAATGCATGTGGGGTAAAACATACTTGGCATAATGTATATAGGTTGCTCTAAGGTATCTTGGGTGAATGTGACGGGGTGTTATATGCAAATTATTACAAAGGCACACGATGCATTCGCAATTTGTGACAGCTGCTTCTGCGACTAGCACAATTAGCAATTACCGTTTTCCATTTTTAAAACACAGACTAAACGAGACAAGACAACGTGCCTTTCTAATAGATAACCACTTACCCTACATTTGAAACACCTTTCACTTACACGAAAAAGCTTTTATGAAATTTATATGACATTTTATAGTTGCGGATATTAATTTCAGGTAGAATGGCTGAAAAATGACGAGACCCTTAGGCTAGAAAATCCAAGGAAATATCAGGTGGTCGGTAATGGAACCGCTCTAAAAATAAGGAATATAGCCTTCGCTGATACGGGGGCTTACATGTGCCAAGCCACTAATATAGGTAAAAAATACAACACGATAACCCTCCAAAAATTACGTTCTGTTCATCTCAGGTGGATTAACGAGAGACATAAGTTCTTTGGTCGTACAAGAGCAGCCCACCCCCAGTAAGTAGAGCGAAAACTGCTCGTCAAACGCAATAAATAAGTATGTAAATGTCGGAAATTTGATTTCAGCTTCGCCTAACGAAGAGCGCCGCTTTTTTGCCTTCCACGATTGGGGAGTGTCAGTGTATGAGCCATCCACTTGTCGACTCTACCACAGGATTCAATCTACTGACATCATTCCCGGCACTCAGGTAATTTTCCAATGTTCAGTTTCATTTAGGCTTCTACCACCTTTTCTTAAATCCCATACTTGCTTCGATTTTCCCAAGTAGGAGTAAATTCAACAAGCGGATCTTTACGACCGCTTAAATTAAAGAAACAGATTTAGTAGAACAATGAATAACAATCGCGACGAACCAGCGAGAGATAAAAATCCCGAAACAACATTTGCAAGGCAGACTTTGAATGCGGAATATCGAATTTTTACCGTGAAATTTGAACGGCTCCTGCTTATTCAGGAGGAGGGTTCTTTTAGTTAAACCGCTGATCTTTGAAAATTTATGTGGTGGACTTAATTTAGATAAAGAACCATCTGTGCCTTCAGCTACGGCAAATAACAGGAGATACTTGAGTCACAAATAAATTGAAGATATATATTTTAAATTAGTTTAACACAGCATTCGTTGAATCACGTCTTACGTTTTACTGCGAATAGACACACCGATAATTATCTTTGATTTACGTAGGCATGTGTACTAGGACACTTTTTGTAGAAAGCAAATAAATTAAAGCGGGTTTTATTAAGTGAATCTTATTTGCCGAGACGTATTAACTATTTTGCCAATGGTTTTATTTCTTTTGTTGATTGTTGTCTCTTCTTTGGCTGTTTATCTTTTCGACACTTAAATGGTAGTTAAGCCATCTTCAAGCCTTTACAAATTAACAAAAATTGTCAAAATGAAAATTAAAATACATTTAAAGTAATTAAAACTGAAAATTGAAAAACCTGCTTAAAGTCGCAAACGGCGTTCCAAAATTATTATATACACAGGGTGAGTCATTAAGGCTACTGTCCTCCATACATCATTAATTATTAGTTATATAAAAAAAACAGAGACTAAAGTTATACAGTTCTTTGAGGCATACACTAGAATTATTTTTGTTTTCTTTTTGAAACATAGCATCACAACTTAGTTTTTTTTTTAATGATATATATGTATAGTTTATTTTTGAAATTCTAATGCGAGGTTGCCATGTTATTCTCATTTTCTTAAATTTTTTCGCAATGCAAGGGTTCATAAACAGAACAAAATAATGTTATTTATAAGATCTATGTTACAATATTTTACGAGAAATAAATAGAGATAAACAGAGATTCACCATGTATTTTTCAAATAACGATATTTCAAAATTTTAAAACATAACACGCTGTATTTTATTCTGCATCCTAGCTTACATTTTGTTCTACTCGTAATTCTTTCAATATATTGGTGTCTCTCAAAAAAAAATAAAAAGTCGCAATAACTATCAAATTTAAATATACAAAATAATAATAATTTAATTTTTTGTCAAAAACTCAGTATGTTAAGACTCAATTTTATTTATACCACAGCAAAACGTGTACCATTATCTCTCCAGAAATATTATCGCCCCGAAAAATATATGGGGTATTCCAATTGAAAAAAGTTGTGTGTTACCCTTCAAAAACAGAACACTCTGTATAGTTGAAAATAATTTTAATGTATGTGTAGAGCTATTATTTTAATTTGTAGAGAGAAAAAATAAACAGTTGTGGGTAAAGCGTGTTTCCGAAAAGGAAATAAACCTAACGAAAAAAAAATTGGTCTAAGGTTATTTAAATTAAAAAAAATTATAAAATATGATTTTACACAATTAGGAAAAATATAAACGAAATAAATGAAAAAAGTGAAAAAAAAGTTTCTAAAGATGGGATTCAAACACAAGTCCGATTTTTTTTTCAACTACGTTAATTGAAAATTACGCTGTTTTGCAATTATTAACATGTAATATATTATGCAGCTAATCTTACACACACTGCATTAATTGGCGGCTCCTGCAAAGCTTATTAGCGCTAATAACTAATTTCGTTGTGTGCATAAACGCATCTGATTATTTATTATTGGAGTTTGTTGAATAACCTACCTGGTTATTTTGTGTTAATTTAGAAAAAATCAGGTATCGAGAAAAAATCATAATTCTTAAATCCGAGAACCAGTCATCAATTCCAAGCGACGACAAAACATTACATAAACCACGTGGAAAATACTGTACAAAAAATGTTAATAAAGTAACTGAGATAAAAATCAAGGTGGATTCATATACCACGAGTGTGGGGGTACATTATTTCATAAAATTTAGATAACCTTAACTACGCAAGATGAGGAGGAGGCATCATCAAATTGTTGGTGGGAATTATTAGACACATTTGGGTGTGCGTTTTACCATCTACGCGATGTTCCCAACATACAAATAATTAACTACAATCGGTCCGGTAATTTCGAAGATTATCTGTCCAATAAAAATGGACACAGACGACAGACAGACGGAAACGGGAGACCACTTTTTTGTATTCTAGGCGTCATGAAATATCGACAAAACATGAAACTAACCACTCATCGGATGGACCCTGTTACAATGCTTTCCAAGCTCACGAAAATAAAAATAATAAAACCATGTGCTGAGACAATGTATTTCTTGTAATTTAGAAAGATGTAGTGTCAAAAGAAGCATATTATCGAAAATACGCTCTGCAATACTAAACTATAATAGGAACGACGTTTTGTATATTAATAAGTGTCACCGCCTCTGTTCGACTTCGCAAAAGTCTTTCTAATAAATGTTGACATTAATTCAATATATGAGCAATTTAAGACACATTTAAAATGTCAACAATAGCAGGACGCCTACAAGAAAACACAACCAATGTTGCACACGAAATTTGTAAAAATCCAACTCTTAATCCATACTCAATCTGTTTTAACCATCAGACGCATAAAAATCGGTTTTATTCAGACTTGTCTAATTTTAACTTTTCATTTTAAAACGGGATTCTCTTCATAACCAGACACAAGAAAATTAGAGTACTTTGTAAGTATTAATGAAATGGTCGAGGTCCCCAGACTCATTGTTTTTCACTGCGGTCTGCACCTAAGCATCTGGTATCTCGTCCTATTTCTTTGTAATCGTCCTCGTTCCACTAAAGCTGAAGTTATATGAGTTCTCCTGACCTTAACTAATTTCTGAAACGACCTGAAGATTTTTTGTTGGAAGAGAAAATTACAGGCTTGAGTATTTTATTAAATAACTTTTCAAACAGCACCTGTTAGTAACGATGTGAACGAGAATAAAATTTATTGCTTATTATTAAGTCGGCTGAACCATTTAGCAGCTATTGCACATACAACTAATATAATAAGTGCATACTTAGTTCGTTCTAATAAACATGAAATATAAGGTAATAGCATGACTTTTTCAGTATTATATTGTTTTAAACTAAAAATTAAGTAAAACTTATTAAAAAAAATGTAGGGTTGCGTGGTACCTACTAACAAAACATTTTGCAACTTTATTATTATAATACCAATGAGCTAAAAAATTATTGTCATTATAAATGAAAGGCTTCTTCCTACATAAATATTGTTTCAAACTCGATTCAAAATGGACAATTTTTATAACTGCTATTTTGCGCGCTGTTACTTGTGGTTCAGACACGAAAATGTTCTGCCTAACTAACTTTACATATTGTTAATAGGGGGGACCATATCTGAGGAAGCACTTCTTTTAGCGTCAGTCAACCGACTGAAAAATGATATGCGGATTCCGAAACCCACATCTAAAAATTTTCAATACGTGCTACAGACAGTTGACATCACGCGTAGTCACTGAACTTTCACTGATTTTGTTATCTGCTGATAAATTCGTGTTGCCAGAGGATAAATCGTGTCTATGTATTGTTATATTTTTCAAATAATATTTGTATCAATTTACGAAAATATCTGCAGAAAACTGAAATATATGAAAAAATAATATCAAGATTTTTTATAATATAAAGTCAATTTCATTATTGCTTGTTAAAATGTATAAAGCAGATTTAAAAAATAATGCAAAATAGCGTGGTTGTACTTGTACATACCATCATTTTAATACCTATCGTTTTTATGGAGATGCAGGAAGCGAATGTTTGTTGTGGTTTTTACCGGAGCGGTGCTTTCTATTACAAGCCGTGGCTTCCTTGCAAAGCTTTTCAAAGTTTTACTTTTTTACTATTTACGAGTACGTTTTACAAAAAATATTCACTTTTAATACTTACTAAACTCCCAGAGTATCCATAACAAATGCGTATGCAGATATAAAGGTATTTATTAAATTTTTTGCTGAATACCTAAAAAACCCTTAACAGAGTTTATACAAATATTTTCAACATGGCTAACATAAACGTGAGTAATATTCCAAGGATGAAATTAAATCCAAAAAAGTCAATTAAACCTAAAGTTATTAGTTATTAATTATTATAAATATTAATACATAAGCAATACTGAAGCTACTTGATTACAATAAAAATAGACTATTTAAATCTGTTATTTCAAATTTGAAGCAGAAACTGATAAATCATCAACATTCAGTGACACTTTTTGCTTGAGAGCTACCTGTTATTTATCATATTGTTACGAAATAAACTCATACGCCACTCCAGTACGACACCTATGGGTTCTATAGTATATGCGGCGATGATGGGTGACCCATCGTCCGTGACGGCGGCTGGACGGCGTTCGCTAAAGAAAAGCGTAGAAACCGATGTGGCAATGGGTGTTCCAGAACAAGCTTAGAAGCAGTGACGACGAGTTCGTGAAGTCCAGACAACGGAAGTAGAGCCTAGCCAAATCCATTATTTAATTAAAGAATCGAGTTGAGCGGAAAGTAGAGTTTAACCCACGCGGATTTGAAATACCCGTCCAACGTAACAATATAATGATAATGATATAATATTAAATCAGGTTGTTTCCTGTCCTGCGGTAAAACTTCACTCCCATGGTAAAATAATTATCTAAAAGACCTAACTGTTGATCTTTGTTGTGTCATTTCAAAGAGAGGCCGTGCAATTTTTCTTTAAAATAATTATGTTGACAACACTAGTGTGCCTTGTCGTTTCATCTAAATATAAACAACAATCTTTTTCATAATCTTTAAAAATTTTAACTTTTAAATTTAAATAATAAAAAGTTTTGTGCAA